GCGCGGGAGCCGGAGCGGAAGTGGCGGGTTTTCGAGGCCTGGCGGCGGGGGATACCAGGTTTCCGCCGCGGAAGGCGGCGCAGGGAGGGTAAGCGGCGGAGGACGTTTTCCGCGAATTGCGGAGCAAAGTGAAGGATCGGCGCGCAGCGACGCCGGATTGACTGCCACGTCATACTCAGGGTGAGAGGAGAAATGTTTTTTCCCTGCCGTGGGTTCGTTCCATCATCTTGCGCTGGGGTTTCATTCCCGGCCTCGCTCTCTAGCCCTCATTTCACTCTTTCTATTTAGATATTCCCGCTCTCTGCATGCGTCTCACATCGCCTCGTGTCTCTCCCATTCCCCGTATCCCTACCTTACACCCGTGTGTGTCTCCCCATCGCATCTGCAGCACCACCAGCACCAGCCGTACCAGTAGCGGCAGCGGCAGCGGCAGCGGCAGCGGCAGCGGCAGCCGCAGTGCGAGCGGCGAGCGCAAGGGGGTGCTGGTGGTGGGGTTTTTCGGCCCGAACGACTCAGAGCTAACAGCGCTACTCAACCACCTGCTACAGTACCCTGCCTTCTCCTCTCCCTCTACCGAGTCTGCTTCTGATGCTCCTGGAGAGGCTTATAGCGGGTATGTGGCTGCTGGTGGTGGTGGTGGTTGTGGTGGTGGTGAGGGCAAGGAGGATGTTTTTGGTGCTGCCACGTGGCGGCGCCTGGGGCTGCCACGTGGCATGCTGGAGCAGTTTTACGACCGGCAGCAGAACCTGGTGCTGGTGAAGCTGTGCACGAGTGTGAGCGGACGAGCGGCTAGGAGTGCTGGTAAAAGTGTGACTAAAAGCGCTGCTAGGAGTGCTGCTAAAAGTGGGACTAAAACGAGGGGGATTGGAAGGTATGGTAAGGGGGAAGGGAAGAGTGTGAGTGGAGAGGAGGTTGGGGGTGTTGGGAAAGAGGCGGGTGTTGGGAAAGAGGTGGGGGGAGAGGCGGGAGACAAGGAAAGGGAGAAAAGGGCGGAAGGGGAGGGGCGTTTTGAATTGGCAAGCAGAGGGAATGGGACGGTGGAGGATGAGGAGGAGGGAAAGAGGGAGGAGGAAGAAGCAGAGGAAGAAGAGAGAGAGGAGGAGAGGGAGGGCGACGAAGAGAAGGAAGCAGAAGAGGAGGAGGGGGGGAGGGAGGAGGAGGAGGAGGAGGAGGAGGAGGAGGAGGAGGAGGAGGAGGAGGAGGAGGAGGAGGAGGAGGAGGAGGAGGAGGAGGAGGAGGAGGAGGAGAAAACGGAGGCAGAAGAAAAAGAGGAGGAAGAGAGGGAGGAGGAAGAAGAAGAGGAGGAAGAAGAAAACGAAGAGGAAGAGGAAGAGGAGGTGGAGGAGGAAGCGGAAGAGGAAGCAGAGGAAGAAAAGGGGGAGGAGGAGGAGGAAGAAGGGGAAGAGGAGAGCGAGATGGAGGCAGCGGTGCAGAGGGCGTGGGTGCTGCTGTTCACAGCATGCCACGTGGTGGTATGTGTGAGCCCGTCGCCCCTCTTCCACCCGCACCTGCTGCACTCCTTCCGCTCCCTGCAGCGCGCCAAGCTCGCCCTGCTGCCGCGCCTGCTGCTGCCCCACCCACCGAGCGAGACACTGCCAAAGCAGCCGGCGCAAGAGCACTGTGAGAATCAACCGGTGCAAGAGCTGGCCCAGCCTGTGCTGGATGCAACGCTGCTGCCAGCCCTCCCCCCGGACATGCTCCTGCGCCAACCTTCCCCTCACGCTGCTCCCACCACAAGCAGCAGCACCACTACCACCACCACTAGCACCACTAGCAGCAGTAGCAACAGCAGCAACAGCAGCAGCAGTGTGAACAGTGAGCATCACCCCCAGGGCCAGGAGGAGGCTTCCCCGTGCCCAGGTTCCCACTGCAGGTTGCAGCTGCTGCCCGGGTTCACCACGCCCTGCCTGCTCTTCGCCTTCCCCGTGCCCTTTGCCTCCGCTCAGGCCGCTCTCGCCGTGGCTCACGGTGCAGGAGGAGGAGGGAAGGGCGAGGGAGGGGGCAAGGATGGTGGGGCTGGGGGCAGGGAGGCAGCTGCTGCAGCAGCAGCAGGAGGGGGAGGAGGAGGAGGAGGATCAACCACTGCTGCTGTTGCTTTGGCCGGGCTTGCTGGTGCTTCTGCTGCTGGTGTTGCTAGTGGTGCTGCTGGTGCTAATGCTGCTCTTGGTGCGGCCAGTGACGCGAGTCCACCTGTCACGTCGCCATTGGTCATCCGTCGTCGCATGCAATCCGCCCTGGAGTCGCAGATCAGATCTCTGCTCAAGCGCTGCCGCCCGGTGGCCTCTGCTGTGGACGTCCACGTGGCAGGCCCCCGTTGGCTGAGGCAATGGACGGCCATGATGAAGAGCGGAGCGCTGCGGCAGATGAAAGGTGCGGAAGGAGCGGCAGCAGACTCAGCAACTGCACCAACAGAAGATGCATCACTGGCAGCAGTGGTGGCAGCAGCAGCGTCCCCTCTGTTTGTCCTGGACCCCTCGCGCTGTGCTCTGGTCATCCACCACTCTGCTCTCTCCAACCAACGAGGCCTCTCTGCCACAACCGACACCCTTATGGCCGCTCAACTGGGCGGCAGCCCGGGCGGCAGTCTGGGCGGCAGTCTGGGCGGCAGTCTGGGCGGCAGTCTGGGCGGCAGTCTGGGCGGCAGTCTGGGCGGCATGGGACGGGAACCGGGCGGCAAGGGCTCAAATGCGAGCGTGGCGTCGCAGCAGCAGGGCCTTCCTCTCTCCTTCTCCCTCCTCTCCCCGTCCTTCTCGTCCCTCGCACCCTTCTCCCCCGTGCTCCTCAACCCGCCGGCATCGCTCTCCACCGCACCGCAATCCCACGCACCCTCCACCCTCACATCAGCACTCACAGCAACCCCCTCCTCCTCATCAGAGCTAGCAGAGTCAGCTGTAGGGTCGATCTGGGACTTCATTGTGGGGCAGAGGGAGGTGATGGAAGCTCGCTGGAAGGCCGCTCAGCCTCTTCCTCTGCCTCTTGGAGGGAAAGGCGTTGGTTTTCCTGCCAGTGTTGGGAGCAGAGGGGGGAGCGGCGGCAGGGACGGCAGCGGTACAGCCTTATCGTCCGTTCCTCCAGCCGCAGGCATGGCAGCTGGTTCGGGTGCAGTGACGGGAGGAGGAGAAGAAGGAGAAGGAGGGGTAAGTGGGGGGACGGATGCGGAAGCAGGAGCAGGGGCAGGGGCAGGGGCAGGGGCAGGGGCAGCTGTAGGGGCAGGGGCAGGGGTGGGGAGAGGGGGCATGAGGGGGAGGGGAGGGTGGGCGGGGGCGCTGGGGCTGACTAGAGGGGGAATGGGGGGAGGGAAGGCAAGGGGGCGCATGGGGGGAGGCGTGGGGGGGTCTGCAGGCGGAATGGGGGGAGGGGGACTGCCGTGGGAGCTACCAGATTTTGACACGTGGCAGGCAGGGTGTGAGAGGGTGGCTCGTGTGGTGTGTGAGTGGGGAGGGAGAAGGGGTCAGGTTTTGGGTCAGAAATGGGTGGGGGGGTTGGACGGAGGGGTTGAGGGGGATGCAAAGGAGTTTGGTGCGGTGCTGACTGCGTTTGGTTATGGTGGCAGAGGTGGTGGTAGCAGTAGGAAGAGGGATGTGGGAGGAAGAGGAAGAGGGGGAGGAAGAGGAGGAAGAGGAGGGGGAAGAGGAGGAAGAGGGGGAGGACGAGGAAGGGGAGGAATGGCGCCTGCACCATCACTCCAATCAATGACAGCAGCAGCACTGCAAACACCAACCCAGCCTCCCCTCACGCGCATGCACAGCGGCCAATCAGATTCATCCAGCTCACCTGCAGCTCTCTTCTCCTCCTTCCTATGCCGCACTGCCCTCACCCGCGCCCTCCACACATACCGTAGGGGCCTCGGGCAGCTCTACACTGCCCGAGTGCACCACGCGCACATCCGGGCAGCTGTGAAAGTTTTTGCAGAGGCCGCCCGAGGACCTGCCCGAGAGGAGTTCTTCGAGGTGCTGAAGCGGCAATGTTATGAACACTGGGTGGGGAAGGGAGTGGAAGGAGAGGGGGGAGGGAGGCAGCAGTGTGAGGCGGTATCTGCCTTGGGATTACCGTGCTGGTTGCCGCTGGGGCATGAGAGGTGGGGGGTGGTAGCGAGGGAGGAGGAGCGTGGAAGGACTACTGGCGAAGCAGGGCAACGGAAACGCACCAGTGCAGCTGGTTTTGACAGCAGGCATGAGAGTGGGGCGGTGCTGCTGTGTGCGTGTGTGTGTGGCAGCACCCAAGCCCTTCTCTGTGACCCCTTCTGGCCAACGCCCCTCTCCCCGCTCTCGCTCTCCTCCCTCCTCCGCCTATCTCTCCCCTGCTGCAACCTGTTCTGGTCAATTCCTCTTCACCGGACGAGCTGGGGAGAAGCGAAGGCGAGTAGGCAAGGCTCTAAAGCTGGTGAGATGAAATCTCAATCAAGAGAGGACTTGCAACAACGGAGAGAGCAGGGAGAGCGGAAGGGGAGTGAGAGGGGTGAGAGGGGTGAGGGAGTGGAGTTTGAGTGGGGTGTGACTGTTCTGGGCAGTAGGAATTGGTACGACCCAATCAAGGGGGTCCAGCAGGAGGGGTTTCTGCCCGGGCGAAACTTTCTTCTGCCCTGGGCGGTCCAGCTGCCGGCGATTTATGTGGCGGATGAGGGAGGCCGGGGAGCGGGCAGCAGCAGTGGGGTAGGAAAGGAAAGCGTGTTGGAGAATGTGGAGGGAGGGACGAGAGGAGGTGGAGGAGTGGGAGATGGTGGAGAGGAGGGGGAGATGAGGGAAAAGGTTGGGAGGGAGAGGGTAATAGGAGAGATATGGGCAGTTAGAAAGGGAGGAGGAGGAGGACAGGAGGAAGAGGGATTGAAGGAGTTAAGCAGGCAACAGGGATTTAAATCAGAGAACAGCAGAGGAGAGGGAGGGGAGGATGAGGGGGGAGAGGGAGGCGGGAAAGAAGAGGGGGGAAAAGGAGGAGAAGGATTGAAACAGGAAAACGTGGTGGGAGAAGGGAGCAGGGCAATTGCCGAGACTCGTTATTGTATGGTTCGATATAGTGTAGGGGATGCTGGCGTTATTGCTGCACTAGAAGAGGGGGCTAAGATGGTAGTTGCAGAAAGGGAGTGGCAGCAGCAGGGGCAGGAAAAGCAGGACGTGCAACCGGGGGGGAAGCAGCGGCAGGGAGGGCAAGACTTGCAGCAGGAGTCAGAGAGGGAGGAGGAGGAATGGGCTGAGGAAAGGGTGACGGATTCGGTGGGGGCAGGGGCAGGGACAGGGGCAGCGGCAACGGCAGCAACAGGGACAGGGGCGATGGCAGGGGTACGTGGTCGTGAGGTGCAGGCGCCGACCTCTTTCGCCCGTGTGGCAGCCATAGCAGCAGGGGCAGGGAGGCACGCAGCAGCCGTGAACACTGCCGAGATGGCCTTCCCTCCCCTCTCTGCCGCCACTCATGGAACAGCAACAGTGCATGGGGCAACGCATGGGGCAGTGCATGGGGTGACACATGGGGCTGACAAGGGCGGGTATGAGAAGGGTATCTTAGGGCCCGGGGCACCTGGGGGAAGAGGGGCAGGGATAGTGGGACCTGCTTTGCAGCATCAGCAGAAGAAGCAGCAGCAGCCGCCGCTCCTGCCCACGCCCCCTCAAGCCAGCATTCAGGCACGGGGTGGGGATGCAGAAAAGAAGCTCCTCACCTGCCGCTCCCTGCTGCCGCACCACCCTCCCACTGGCGGTAGCAGCAGCAGTGGTGGTGGCAGCACTGCCACCCGTGGCAGCAATGGCGGCAGCAGCAGCACTAGCGGCACCGATGGTAGCAGCAGTAGCAGCAGCGGCGGCGGCGGCGTGAGGGTCATTTCAGTGTGTGTGTTTCTAGGCCTCGAATACGCTTGCCCTGCTGGCCATCGCTTTATTGCTGCCCCAAACCTCCCCCCCGAACTTGAGTCGACTCAAAGCGCTGGCCATCGCTCCTCTGCTGCCTCGCACACACCCGCCGAACAAAGGGGGGCGTCTTGGGGCGTGGTGGGTGGGGCAAGAGGGACGGAGGGCTCGATGGGAGGAGTGACGGATTGGGTTGGGGAGTGGGTTGGGAGAGATCAGGCGTTAGTGGTGGGTTGCCCTGGGTGTGATGCGGTGAGAGGGAGTGGTGTGAGGAGTTTGATTGTCAAGGGGGAGGAGGTGATGTTGGGGAGGGATGAGAGAGTGGAGGGGGAGCGGGAAGGAGAGGGGGATGGAGAGGGGGATGGGGGGGAGAGGGGGGGGGAGGAGGAGGAGGAGGAGGAGGAGGAGGAGGAGGAGGAGGAGGAGGAGGAGGAGGAGGAGGAGGAGGAGGAGGAGGGAGGAGGAGCGGAAGAAGTGGGGGAGGGGGAGGGAGAAGGGGAAGAGGAGGAAGCAAAGGAGGAACGGATGGGAAGAGCGATTGTTAACAAGGATGGGGGGAAAGAGGAAGGAGGATTAGGAGAAGCAAAGGCCTTGGCTGCTGGTGTTGCGAGTCGCAGTGGCGCCAAGGGAGAAGCGAGTGAGAAGGAAGACGGGAAGGCGATTGTTGGAGGGAAAGCGGTCGTTGGAGGAAAAGCGGTGAGGAGAGAGGGCAAGCTGCGGCACAGAAAACGGTTCTTTCCCACGACTGCTGCTACCCTGCAGCGCATTCTTGTGGTCAGTAACCGGCTGGACGCCGCGTTATGAACTCTCCGTCTCTGCCTATCTCTTCCCCAATATGAACTCTCCCTCCATCTCTTCCCATGTACATGTATCCCACTTGTCAATGTGTCTGTCCAGTATGGGTTCCCAGCCCTTAGCCCACAGCTGTTGGAGGGCTCACAAACCCTAAAACCTTAAACCCTAAACCCTCATTGAGGGCTCACAATTGAGGGCTAACAATTGAGGCAGACCAATTTGAGTGCCCCAAAAAAGTTCTTGCTTGTTGTTGCATATCAGTTGAGGCATCCTTTGAGAGCTGAATCTGTTTCTTGAGATGTCTCAGTTCTCAAAAAGCGGTTGTCAAGCCGGCTTATCCGTCGACCATTTGTGCCTGGATCAGTTAGTGTTGGTTGATTGTCACACCTCTTCCCTTTCGCTCCCATCACACTTGCAGCTGACTCCCAACCACGCGCTTCTCTAGGTGACTTTTGAGTCCACTCAAAAGTCGCTGGGATCAGTTAATGTTGGTTGATTGTCACACCTCTTCCCTTTCGCTCCCATCACACTTGCAGCTGACTCCCAACCACGCGCTTCTCTAGGTGACTTTTGAGTCCACTCAAAAGTCGCTGGGATCAGTTAATGTTGGTTAATTGTCACACCTCTTCCCTTTTCCTCCCATCACACTTGCAGCTGACTCCCAACCACGCGCTTCTCTTCGCATCCTGCCCCACTCTCATCCTCCCTCCCTCCGCGGTTACCACCACCACCACCACCGGCAGCACCAGCAGCACCTCATCTATTCCCCTTGCAGCTGCCCACAGCAGTAGCTCTACCCAGAGCCAGAAGTCCTCCCATCATCACTCCACCCAAGCCCGCTCCCTTGCCCCACCCTCGCCCATCCTGCTGCCCCCAAACTCGTCTCTGTCTCTCCGCCTGCCCTCCAACCTCCTCTTGGCGTCTCTCCTCCACGCCTCCCCTCCTCTCGCCCCTGGCTTGTCTGATTCAGTACCACTGGAACCAACTCCACCGCCAGCAGTGGCTGGGACAGGGGCAGCAGGAACAGCAGCAGTAACAGCTTCAGGAGCAGCAGGAGGAAAGCTGCTGGGGGGATCTGCTTTGTTCCTCCCATCCCCTCCCTGTGTGGCACTTGGTGTCTTTGGTAACTCTGAGGAGGAGGAGGGGAAGGGGGGCAATGGTAAAGCTGACCTGGTCGCCAGGAGGGCTAAAGGGGAAGGAAATGTGGGAGCAGTAGGAGTGGCAACGCCAATGTCAGCAGGGGAAGCACGAGTCTCTGAGAAGGAATCAGCGTCGGCTGTTTCAGCAGCAGCAGCGGCAGCAGCAGTGGCAGCTGCGGCGGCAGCAGCAGCAGTGTCATTTGCGGGAGGAGGGGGGACAGGAAGGGGTGATGGGAGCAGCATGGGTGTGGGGAGACCGGCAGGTGGGCGTAGTGGGTGGCGAGGCGGGGGGAGGGGTGGGGGCGGAGGAGGAGGAGGTAGGGGGGAGAGGAAAGGAGGTCGAGGTGGGGATAGGGCGAACTATCATGGGTCTCGACTCTCGGGCTCCTATGGGTGAAGCTGACCCTATGAGTTCTGTCTAAGGGAGAGGGCGAATCATGATCTTCACATGGACGTTGCAGGGTGATTTGGGGAACTCTCAAAAATACCCAGAGGGCGGCCGCGAATCATGTCCGTCACGTTGAATTCTCTCGGCAAGCTCTGGGGCCTTTGTTCGAGTCTCGAAAATGTGTGGGCGTGCATGGGTGGCGGTGGAGCCTCACTGCACCGCACCGCATTGCACCCCTCCATGCACGCTGTCAGCAGCATGTGCGTCGGCATGGCATGGCACATTTTTGTAAGACCCATGAGCACGTCGGCGGGAGACCAGACCCCTCTTCCTCCCTCCAGACCCGTCTTTTCTCAACAAGCTGAACGGCTCATTGCACGGGGTGGACAGGGGGGTCACATCACATCCCCAGAGAGAGGCATAAAACCTTTCTTGCAAAGAATGGCCATCATCACCCGCGAGCTGCTCTTCTCACCGCTCAGTGCTCTCTTTGCCAGTGCTGCCAGTGCTGCCAGTGCTGCCAGTGCTGCCAGTGCTGCCAGTTCGTGGGTGCTGCCAGTTCGTGGGTGCTGCCTCTCTGCCTGCCTTGCTGGTGCACCTAATCGGCTTCTTTGCCTGCTTTTCATGGTTTACTAAGGCGAACCCGTGCGACGAGGAGACCTGGAGGAGGAGGAGGAGGAGGAGGAGGAGGAGGAGGAGGAGGAGGAGGAGGAGGAGGAGGAGGAGGAGGAGGAGGAGGAGGAGTGCAGGTGGGGTCGGGTCTGCACAGTTCTCCTTTGCGCCACTGTGAGTGGATGCCGGAGATTCAAATCGTCTCGACCGCTCTCCCTTTCTGGCACCTCTTCTCGACAGGGACCTTGTGAACTCAACTCAAACCCTCTTCTCAACCTGGGTGTTGACATGGTTCCAGTCGACTCAACTCAACTCGACTCCACTCATCGGCAGTTGCTGTACTGTGGGTGGGCCGGCCGGTTTTTCAAGCAAGGCAAGGCAAGGGTAGTGTAAGTGGCTGGAGGGCCTTCCTAGCAGTGTCTGGGGCGTGTTGAGTCCTGATCTCCTGAGGGAGGCTCGGGGAGCATGAGTGATGCTTGGGGAGCCTTGGGGGAGCCTTTGGGAGGTTCGGGGGAGGCTAGGGGGAGCCTTGGGAAGGCTCTTGGGAGGCTTGGGGGTTCTCGGGGGAACTTAGGGGGAGCATTTTGAGGTGCTCTGTTGGTAGTGGTGTGGGGGTAAAGCGGCATCATACTTACAGAGGGTTGAGAGATGGGAGGGTTGAGAGAAGGGAGAGTTGAGTGGTGGAGATTTGAGAGGAGGGAGGGTTGAGAGGAGGGAGGGTTGGAGGAGGGAGGTTTGAGAGAAAGGAGGCTTGAGAGAAAGGAGGTTTGAGAGAAAGGGGGCTTGAGAGAAAGGAGGCTTGAGAGAAAGGAGGTTTGAGAGAAAGGAGGTTTAGCTTAGTCTGCTGCTAGTGATGAGACTTGAGACACTTCACAGAAGCAAGGAGGGAGGATTGTGACAGGAGGGGTGTGAGAAGGGGGGAGGGGTGTGAGAGGGGGGAGGGGTGTGTGAGAGGAGGGAGGGGTGTGAGAGGAGGGAGGGGTGTGAGAGGAGGGAGGGGTGTGAGAGGAGGGAGGGGTGTGAGAGCGGGGAGGGGTGTGAGAGGAGGGAGGGGTGTCAGAGGAGGGAGGGGTGTGAGAGGAGGGAGGGGTGTGAGAGGAGGGAGGGGTGTGAGAGGAGGGAGGGGTGTGAGAGGAGGGAGGGGTGTTAGAGGAGGGAGGGGTGTGAGTGGAGGGAGGGGTGTGAGTGGAGGGAGGGGCGTGAGAGGAAGCTGAGTGCTACAAGCATTGGTATGGCAATGCGTTGCATGGCATGACAATGCATGGCAGAACTTTGCATGGGCTAGGTTTGAGACTCGGTCCTGTCAGGCTTGGGCTTGGCTTGGGACGTGGTCCAGTCCAGTCAGGCTTGGCCGCAGTGCTCCAGTGAGGTTGCAGGTGCCGTTTGTTCATTGGAGCACCAGAGGGAATGGATTGTGAGCTCCATGTATGCTTCACTGAGGCCCAGGAGACAAGTGAGCACGACTTGGGTCGAAGACCCTAACAGGGTGGCACATTACTGGGAGTCTTGGCTCATCCTCCTGACGCTGGGTGATACGGTTGACTTCCCTTGCGCCTCCTTTATCTGACTGGCAGTTTGAAATGGCATGACGTTGCATGCTTCTGTATCTTGTGTGTTATGGTATGGCATTGCAGTACCCATCATCGCCCCTTATGATGACATGGGAAGTTTGTTGTCATAACATTCATTTCAATTCGTATGTGTCTTGGTGTACTGTGAATTGGTGATGCTTGTCACTGCTTTGTGACCCACTCTAAGGCGAGCTTTTGGTTCATACCGTATGTAACTTTGTAGACTGATTTGGGACTGATTTGCTATGATATTGCTTCAGGCGTTTTTCTATGAAGCAGGTAACTATGTCGATTCGGAAACATGCTTCTAACGAGTATTTGATTCACCTGAACTGCTCTCCATTCTTGACCTCGCTCCTAAACTGTTGGACGGTGGCACAACACTTGGACCAGGTCTCCACCCAAGCAGCCTGGGCACGAGTGAGTGGGCGGCTGCCCAGGCATCTGCAGCGTCACCTGCCATTAGGAAGCTGGTTTGGACGGTTCACGCCCGATTCGCTACTCCTGCCAGCTGCCCGTCGGCTCAGCGGCTGCCCGAGCTTTCTTGACTGCCTCGGACCAAATGAGCCTGCTTCTGTTGCCCCGGGGCAACACGGTGTTGCTCTGACGTGGCACCTGGTCTGGAAGATTCCAGTAATCCGAAGCGTAGGGCTGACGTGTCATACGCTTCATAGACGAGGCCTCATCCAAATGATGCCTGCGACGAAGAGCTAGTTCGCAGGGGTTTCCGAGCCGGAAACACAAGTCCCATGTCAGCAATGGACCCGTGAGGTTCGTAGGGCAAGCGTTTCCCACGCCTTATGTTGTCTAGGTTGGTCCAAACACCCCTGCGAAACCAGCCCGTAGGATCTTGAGAATTGCCACCTGGCGAGTCGTGACGATGGCGAGATCAGACGCAACTACGCCGCCTTGCGCCTCGTCGTCGCGTCTCAGCCCCAAGAGCGACTCGAGGCGCTTTCGTGCTTCGAGACGGCTGCTCGTGTTACCCCCACCTAATGGCTCTCCTTAGTCCCTCGAAGAGCACTACTTCTAGTAGTTAAATACCCAAGGTTACATTTCGTGTAGCATTCATAGCCAAATCTCGGCGCATCTATCAGCAGCCGTGCCTCATATCACTCCTTCGAGCTCGAGTCTTTTCTTTCCGTAGTTCATTCACGCTCTCCTGCGACGGACCATCTCGAAGCAATGGGTTCGCGGATTCTCCTTCTGCTCGGTACGTTTACGAATTTAGTGTAGAAAAGCTTCGTGTGCAATACCTTCCCAATACTATCGTTGCTCTGGTTGCATTCTGTCTGTTCA